GGAAAAAAAAAAAAAGTTCAAGGAAAATTATTTGAAGAGTACATGTATTTTCTTTTGTGTCAATTAATTTACAAGGATTTCAATTTTAAGCCCCAAAGCCCTTAGAGTTCGAATCATATTGGCTGTAAATACAGAATATTAATCAAAAATAAAATTAGACAATTTTGAACTGAACTGAATTCTCATTCAGGCAAAAGAATTTGTCAACTCATCAATTTCCAAGAAGTTGATTTTCTTTTCGTTTATAATAGCAATTAGATATAATATTTCAACAAAACTTAACTGGACAGTGGAGATATAAGATACTAATCAAAATGAGATAAGAGAATTCAACTTTTATTGTAATTTCGTTTGAATAAAACATTAAAACTATCTGTCAACCCATCAATTTAGAGTAGGAAATTGATTTTCTTTTGGTTTATAGAGCTGAACTATCTGTCAACCCATCAATTTAGAGAATGATAAGCCACTCAGTAACAATTTCTTGAATCATCGGAATCAAGTCAAGTTGTATTCTTGCTATGTCATCATGCAACATACTGTCCTCATAACTCATAAGTCCTTATTCGGTTATTCCATCCACAAACATATAATAGAAGTAAAACATAAACATTCAGATTCAAGTAAGACGTGTTTATAACCTGGAAATACAAATACATAATCTGGAAATACATGCACATACAATAAGTACTTAGCAACAAACATACCACAAAATCAGTTGATAGTTGTACATAAAATAACTCAGTAAAGTTTGCAACGAAATCATTATTGAAGCTGGATCGAGGAATGGCGTGTTTATAACCTGGATCGGCGAACGGATCTGTTGTCAACGAATGGAGCTGTCGCCGTCGATTTCCAAAGAGGAACGGAGCTTTCGTCGTCGATTTCTGGCTAGGGAGGAAGACGTCGTCGATTTTCGGCGAGGGAGGAAGACGTCGTCGTTGATTTCAGAGAGTTCAGTTGCGATTTCAGGCTTCGGTGAGTGGAGTTGATTGCGATTTGAGTGGGATTTCAGTTTAGAGAGAAATTTTCGTAGAGAACAAAGAAGAAACTGAGAAATTTTCGCAGAAAAGAGAAGAAGCCCATAAATTTTCAGAGAGAATTAGAGAAACCGAGACTGAGAAGAAGATGAGAAACAGAAAGGGCTGCGATGCGATTGCTTATTAGGGATTTTAAAATTTCGACCGGTTTTTCTGCCGGTCCGGTTGGACCGACGGTTCGCTGATTTTATCCGGTTTTCAAGCGGTTTAATGCGGCTCAATGTATTATAGCGGTTTTGGGGATGACTCGAACCGGACACGTAACCGGTTCTCAGTCCAACCGATTGGACCGGCCGGTCCGGTCCGACTTTTAAAACAATGCCCATGATGCAAAGCTGATGTAGGACATCGGGGAAGATCAGGAAGTGGTCTAAACTCTAAAGATTTCAGAAGCCATCATAATAAATACCTATACTATATATCCACAAATATTTTAGAATTATTATACATATCTCCCAAGGTTTCGTGAAACCTCTTCTTAAGAGTTAAGACCCTCCTTCAGCTTTCGAAAATATATCTAAGGAGGGAAAATTACATATTTGACCTTCAGTGACCATTATTAAATGTATTGATGTATGCATTGTAAATATGTTACTCAATAATGAAATTATATGATAGTAAACGTAGATGAATGGGATAGGCGTGATGAGAAGACTGGTTGATGATGACATTTATATTGTTGAAGAGATTAGTTGGTGGCAAGTTCGATGGTGTCTTGTTCAATGAAATCAAAAAAGTGTTGAGGTGACGTCATGTCATTAATGAGTATACTAGAAGATAAATTAATACGCTATGAGTGTGATGACAATAGAGTGTATGTATATAAACAAAAACTAATGTAACAAAATCAGTTTGTGTATTGTTTATTTTATATGTTTTCAATTTCAATTTATTTATTTTTTCAAAATATCATATTTTCAAATGATACTCTTACTCATTGGACAACGAAGTCAGAAGAATTAATACAACGAAGGAAGTGAATCTTCTCATTGTACAAGGAAAACCCGCTTCAGCAAAGAACTATAAGACAATGTATATATATATATAAAGATTAGTAAATCTCATCGTTCTCTTTGTGAAACTTTTTGAATATATATTTACATAGAAAGCATCAAATTAATTTATAACCTTTACAGCTATTATGCCTGAAAAATATAGGGCTGACATAAGGTCCAGTTAGTCTGCAGAAGTCAGAATATGGGTATACCCACAGCTTGCTTCTGTCAGAATAGTGAGTGCGCGCCAGACCAGCCAGAAGCTGTGATGATCCCACGTGTCCAATCCCTACGACAAATCGCACAAATCACTCTAAAAGGTGGGCAATGTGACATAAAGAATGATTTGCAAGAATAATCCCACCAACTCACATATCCAGTAATCATTAGCTCAATGCATTCCAGTATAAATTGAGAGTTCCTCTCTCATTCAGGGGATTCGTTCATTTTTACTCTTGATTAGCTATTCTCTCTGTAATACAAAAGCATTCTCTTTTTTGTACTATCACTTGAAGGTCAGTCATCTCACGCGACCTAACCCCTATCATTAATAAAATCACAGTGGACGTAGGACTTGCTTCCTTAGCATCCGAACCACTTTAAAAATTGTTCCCATTTGTATTTACTCTCATATTTCATTATATTCACGTGAGTTTTCTGAGCCAACTCAGCATTGCACACGTGCGTTTAGTTGGTGTAAAAATCACGCATCAACTGTTTGACGCTAGAAGGAGGGGTCTGATTTAGTGTTCATCCTTCATCAGGAGAATCTCTAACTTACTGGTCCTACAACAGCAAATGGCTCGCCAACCTGAACCTGAGCAAACCAACCAAGGTGTTGAGGGGATCCCCCAAGTCCAGGGGGACACTTCTTCCAAAATACCTTCTGTCCCGCAAAATGCTGCAGGGGATATCCCTTCAAGTTCACAATTGGACCCTGTCATTAGAAGCTACCTGGAGAGGTTCGACAATACTCTCCAGACGGTCAACCGAAGGTTAGACCGTTTGAACTAAGGCGTGCCATCCAGATCAGCTAGGGTGGTGCAACCGCCAAAAATGCCTGCAGGTCGCGCGAAAGCGCGGCAAAGGGAAATAGCCCGTGCCGCAAGCACTGCAGCACGTCAACAAAAAGGGAAGCAAGTGGCAAAAAACGGGTCTACCGGCTCCAAAGGGCCAGCAAACACCGACCGCGTCCCAAGCAGAATACCGGTCTCGTTAAGACTCAATGAAAGGATGCAGCCCGAGCTGTCCCATGCCATGTCGCAGGTACACCCTAGTAAAAGTGCTGGGCGGGACGATTCTTATCACCGCTAGCAAAATGATCCAAATCGTCATCATGCGAGAGGTTCCCACACTTGGCGGGACGGTTCTTACCACCGCAAAGGTCGTGAAAATACCCCACACCGTTCATCGCCATCACACGCCTCTAGCCAGCGTGTGTTGAGAGTGGCCGGAATCGCCGACCGAGGCGAAAAGGAACCCGACCTCCGAACTTTCTCAACTGTAATCGCGAGGGTCGAACTTGGATAGCTGAAAGCAATCCCCAAGTGGCTCCATTGCCACAAATTGAGGAGCTGCAGCGAGCTCTAGATCGATTAAGAGCTCAGCAAAATGAGCAAGGGCAGGTCGCATCGGCGTCCCCCTTCTCTCCTGAAGTGCTAGTTGCTCCACTCCCACCAGGATTCAGGATGCCCAACATGCAAGCGTTCGATGGAAATTCTGATCCGTAGGATCATTTATATGAATTCAACGACCTGATGGAGCTTCACCAGGTCTCAGATTTGGCAAAATGCCGTTGTTTGGCAGTGACTTTAACCTCTCATGCCAAACAGTAGTTCAAGTCGCTCCCAGTAGGATCGATCAGTTTGTAGCCTCAGATGAGCGTGACGTTCCTAAGACATTTTCAAGCGAACCGAAAGTTCTCGATGCCTTTGAGCTACCTCAGCAACATAAGGCAAGAAAGGGATGAATCCCTCCAGTCTTACATCGACCGTTTCCACAGGGAACTCAACAAGATAGCTCATACTCTCGAAGAGTCTGTTCGGACTCTCATTATAGCAGGAGTTTGTCCACAAACCGACCTGTGGAAAGAGCTACAGGTTGAGGACGATGTTTCCCTCAAAGAATTCTATAACCTTGCAGAGAAGTAGCTCAGGATAGAAAATTCATTGGCGGCGCTCTGCCATCGTGACCCTGGCGCTTCAGGCAGTACGTCTAGTCGGGGGGAAAATAGAAGAGCTGATCACGGAATGGCCGCTGACGATCAACGAAAAGGAAAGAAACCTTGCTACGAGCCCAACAAGTCCTATGCTCCTATCCCTCGTCGCGATCGCGACAGAGACCAATATACGCCTCTGAATGCATCTGTGTCAGCTATTCTTGATAAATCCGAAGAAGACAGCCTGCTCGGAGAGCCCGAGCCCATGAAAACTCCCGCGACAGCCAGAAATAATAAAAAGTACTGTCGCTTCCATGGGGATAACGGGCATCACACTGATGACTGCCGAGCTCTCAAACAGGCAATCGAAGAACTCATCAAGAAGGGGCATTTTAAGGAGTATATTGACGACTTCGCTCCCGCACAAGCGAAAAGTCAAGGGGAGCAAGGAAAGAAGCGTCGTGATCGCATAGGATATTGTAGTGTCAACCTGATCTTTGGGGGGCCGCACCTCACGGGGAACACACGAGGTGCCCAGGAAAGATATGCTCGCGCGGCTCATCATGACCTAATCAGTGTGATGAGCATGTCGCAGTGACCACAAAAGGTTCGCAATGAGGAGCCAATTACCTTCTCCGAGAAGGATGCAGCCCATCTGCATCATCCCCACGACGACGCACTTGTGATCACACCCCTCATAGAGAACCATAACGTTTGCAGGATGCTAGTGGACAACGGAAGGGTTGTGAACATCCTATTCCAGAATGCTTTCGAAAGAATGAACTTGGACAAGGCCGACCTGAAGCCCTACAAAGGAGTAGCATGGAATAATAACTGACCAGTGAATGCTGAAGGGCTGGCATCTGCCTGCATCTGGGCCACATTATATACCCTGGCTATTGTGCCTCCAACTGCAGGTACTGAAGTTGCAGAACTAATAGGGCAATCTCTAGCAATATGACCTGGCTGGCGGCATCTGAAACAAACATTGGTCCCCACTAGACATTTACCCCGGTGTCTTCTCCGACATTTCTTACAGTAACTGACCTCACCTTTCCTTTGTTGGCCTTTTTTCTTCATGTCCTTCTTGTTGGCTTTAGGTAGGACTCCTTTCTTGCCTTTACCCTTATCGTCTTTGCCAACAACTTGTTCTGCACTACTGGATTGGCCAAGCTGGAGAGGACTACTTGCCATTGTTGGGGAAATAGCTAATCTGGTCTCCTTTTGTAAGTACACCTCTGCTCTGATGGCTCTAGCGAGTGCTTCACTATATGTTTGGGAGGGCTGATGACCCGACATAACATCTCTGGCAATAGTGGGATGAAGTCCCCCCACAAATCTCTCCAATCGGGTCTGTGGTGTACTAACCAGTGTGGATGCAAACTTAGCCAAGGAGTTGAACTTGATTGAATACTCTTTGACTGTCATATTTCCTTGTTGCAGACTAATAAACTCTTGTAGTTTTGAGGATATCATGTCTTCTGTCCGGTACTGCTCCTCAAACAATTCCTTGAACCCTGACCAAGTGAGAGTGGTAGTATCTTGAGTCTGCTCCATAAGCTCCCACCATGTCATATCATCTCCTCTCAACAGGTACGTATCATACCGGATCTTCTCTTGATCTGTCATAGGAAATAGAGCAGTAGCTTTCTCCACCAACTTGATCTATTGTTCGGCTACTACTGGATCATTAGTGCCACTAAATTCTGGAGGTTGATATTTACTTGAGAGGCCATAAATTGGTTCAATCTACTTTGGGGCAACCATTGCTTCTGGAGTACTTGTCCCTATTGCTTGACTTGGTAACACATTGGTTGTTCCTGTTGTCACCTGAGTAGTTGTACTTTCCGACGGGGTTCTCCTTAAAGCTCTATTAACAACCTCTTGGATCATATGCTCCAATATTGCAACATCTAAACCCGGAGCGCTTGAAGTAGCAGCTGTTGGGTTAGGAGCTTCAGGTGCAGTTGGAACATCTTGTGCATTCGAAGCATCACTGCGACCTGGATCCGTTCTCCTAGTTTTCCTCATATTTATTCCCTATCACAGTCACCCATATAACATTAATCATCTAATCAATCCTTACATAAATCAAGTAAACATACTTACAGTGATTGGACAACTTCAGCAGCGAAACTTTACATGAGGGAACTGTCAGCGACTCTCATAAATGCTGACTCTATAATGGAAAACATCTTAAAACACCTTTTTATTTTTTTTTATTTTTTATTTTTATTTTTTGTTTAAAGTCACAAAATACTTGCTCTGATACCAAATGTAAAACCCCCCTCCAGTTAGGTATCCTCTGAATATCCCTCAATGAGAATCTCGAGGATACATGTCTGGAAAACGAGTTGTATTTAGAAAAATATTTGTGTAAGGATAATAATAGTAATATCCAATACATGCATATAAAATGTCATGCAGGATCCAAAAATATAATTTACAAACGTTAGAAATTACACAATCAAAAATATATATAGGGTGGAAGCTTCCAAAGGTATTTCTCAAATATTTATCATTTACATTATTACATCAAGATAAAAACATCGAGATGACAATAAATCATTCCCCTCATGTGTGTCCCGCTGTCCTAGCATCCCTCGCTTCTAGTCTACCTGCAAGCAATCAACAATGAAAGGGTGAGCGCTAATCGCTCAGTAAGGAATGATCATTTCATTCTAATGTACTATTTGATCTTTATTTAAACATATGTTAACCATCACTTATCTTTACATCTGGGATAATTCCCCTTTTATTACTAAGTCATATGCTTTCATCATTTTATCCCAGGCTAGATAAACCAATGTGTACACATACAAATAGTATGTAAACATAGTACACACATCACATGTCATGACATAACATCTAAAATCATCTAACATGAGATAAATCATATCATGATGTAATAACATCATAACTCAGTAATGCACAAATGCATATGAAACATTTAACGTCTAGCCGATCGGATTTTCTTAGCATCTTAAGCACTTCATATCATCTAGCCTCAAATTCATCTAGAGCTCATATCATCAGGAGGCGTGCTTAGCGTTATTTAGCATCTAAAGCATATATTCATCTTTCCTAACGGTATACGAGGATGCTTACGCGTTTCCATCAGTCATAGCATCTCGTCATGTCTATTGCATCTCTAACATCTTATGGCATGTAAATACATATTTTGGTGAGCTTAATACTTAATTCTCTAGGATATCAACCATTTAAATACCTTTGCTCACATACATCATCTTAAACATGTATTACATTCATCTTCATGCCATTTAAACATTAATATGCATTGACATCATGACCATGTATATCTTTCAAAGATCATCTAACTAAGGGTAAACATTAGATATGGCATAATTACATAATACATAAAACAATCATAATCATAAGAATTGATTATGTTAAATCTTAAACTTAATAACCAGTTTATGCTAGGCCATTTTCATCCTTTCTCAAACGAATTGGCTCTTGGCATAAACTAAAAGTTATAGGTCTGTGTCTTAGCTTTCTAATGCTTCAAGAATCATTCATTTCAATTTTATAACTCAAGTTATGGTCGAAATACTGAAGCAGGGTTAACAAAACCCCTAAGCTCACTAAATCCGAATTTTCATATTAACTATGCCACTCAATTCCTATTGACATTAACCAATAGATTAACTTATAGATCAAATAAACCTCCCCTAATAGTCTTAACTCTTAAAGAAGTGTAAAATCTCATTCCATAACCATCCATTATTGCTATAACATTGTAAGCTAATGCAAACAACACATCAACACTTAATAGCAACCATCACACCATGTGGCCTCCATACTACAAGTTTTGCCACAATCAGCATCCACACTTCCTTTTCTTCAATCAAACATAACAACTCATAAAACATAAATAGCCATAACTTCATGTATAATGAATTCAAGGCAATAAGTAGAATAAATGAGTTCAACTACACTTGCCATCAACTAATTCTATGCTAAAGCTTTAATTTAAGGTTTATAAAAATTATAAACCCTAGCATAAACCCTAAAGTCATGGGAGGTTCTTCCTTACCTTTTAAAGACTTCTCCAACAAATCCTTTGCCTTTGACTTCTTTTACACCTTAATCTTCATATATAACATTACACCTCAATATCTACTCCAATCTTCAAATCACATCAAAACTAAAGTTTTTAATCCTTACCTTAAACCCTTCAAATTGAAGATCCAAGGTCCTATCTTGTTCTCCTTGAAAATTATGCAAAACTCCTTGAAAACCTAGAGAAAGAAAGCTTGTTTCATGGAAGATTTGAGAGAAAATGGAAGAAATGTTGAAGAAAGCTCTCTCCTTTGGCTTGAACGAAATTCATCTCATTTATAGGAAAAATTTCATTTATTTCCCAAATATTGCAATTGGCCCAATTATTTTAATTGTATAACTCATAAGTCCTTAATTCTTCATAAGGGCATTTTGGTCATTTCACACTAGACATAATATTACTTAATTAATGCCATTAATGCAATGAAGCCTACTCATCCGTGAATTTTTCAATGCTTATCCATAGGCAAAATAACCATTTTGCCCCTAAGCCTCTTTGTGGATAATTGATTCATACCGTTCCAAATGAATTGACTATTTTGCCCTTAGTTAGATTTTATGCTTTTTAACATAAAATTAACATCTAAAGGACTATTTTGAGTTAGGAACATACCGTTGATATCTTGGGTATTACATTTAACTTGAATTGTTTTTCCTGAAAGTGTTTCCTTTTTACTCAAACCTCCACCCGCCACCACCTCCCCACCCCAAAATAGCCTTGTTCACGTAACATTAAATTCGGCTAGACACTCTCCGTGGGAATGATCTTGACTCACACTACTACATGTGTTTTTAGGTTTTAATTTTGGTTGCCTGCGACAGCACACTAGTTACCATCTACATGGAATCCTCTGATGGGCCAGTTTATTGAACTAGTGAATAACAAGCACCTATGCGTCACACCAAGTTGTTACCAAACAACCTTGACATGTGAGATTTGTCACTACCTTCTAGTAGGGTCGTTCAATGCTATGATAGCCTTATTGTATTATCTGTGCCTTAGGTTAGGATAATGCTAAGGCTATGGGCATTTCTAGAATGGCCACCATAAGTGATCATAGAGATTTCACAATCAAGACTTGTCACTGCTTGATTCCCTCATCACGGTTCAACCACTCTAAGGGCATTAATTAAAACATACATATGAAATATGCTTTACATAATATAAACGATGCCTTTCATAGATTGAATAATCATGATCCATAGAGTCAACATATAACAATATGATTGGCTCAAAGGCATCTACTCTAACAAACTTCCACTTGCACCTATAGCCAGTCATTTACGTATTTAATACCAAATGAAGCCAAGTGCCTGTCATGCTTCTGCTACGACAGAGCTTTTGTAAGTGGATCTGAGATGTTATCATCGGTAGGTATTTTGCTTCTTTGTGCATCTCCCCTCTGAACAATTTCCTTGATCAGGTAGAAATGTTTGAGTATGTGTTTGGATCTTTGATAAGACCGTGGTTCCTTGGCCTAAGCAATGGGCCCATTGTTATCACAAAATATCTGTATTGGATCAAGTTTAGTAATGCTTGGAACCACACCAAGTTCATTAATGAACTTCCTAATCCAAACCACCTCTTTAGCTGTATCGGACAATGCAATGTGCTCAGCCTCTATTATAGAGTCAGCTACTGTACTCTGCTTTGAGCGTTTCCCATACATTACAGCTCCATTGAGACAATAGACAAAACCTGATTGCGATTGAAAATCATCATTGTCAGTTTGAAAAATTGCATCACTATATCCACTTATAGTGAGTTCATCCTCTCCTCCACAAACCAAGAACATATCCTTAGTCCTCTTCAGGTACTTAAGAGTGTTCTTGATTGTAATCCAGTGACGCTCACTTGGATACGATTGATATCTGCTACAAATGCTTAAAGCATAAGAGATGTCGATTCGAGTACATAACATGACATACATAATGGATCTAGTAGCAGATACATATGGTATCTTGTTCATCTTATCTCTCTCCTCTTGGGTGATTTTGACACATGTCCTTCTAGAGATAAACAACATGTGACATAGGAAGGAATCCCTTCTTGGATTCTTCCATACTGAATCTCTTCAGTACCTTGTCAATGTATGTACTCTAACTTAGGCCAAGCAACCCACATGAACTATCTCGATAGATCTTGATACCAAGGATGTAGGCTGTTTTCCCCAAGTCCTTCATGAAAAAGCACTTGGGTAACCAAGTCTTTATCATCTGCAAGTTTGGTATATCATTCCTAATAAGTAACACGTCATTAACATATAATACTAAGAATGCCACTGCGCATGCACTGAATTTTTTATTCACATATGGTTCATCTTCATTTTTTATGAAACCAAATTCCTTAATGGCTTTATCAAAATGAATGTTCCATCCCAGATTTCATGGCCTCAAGCCATTTAGTGGAGTCTGGATTTAATACAACATCATTGTAGGTTTGAGGTTCATCGTCCTGATAAACCAAAACAAGCTTGGTAAAAGTATTAAAGCTCTTTGATCGAATCGAGGAGGTGAATACTTAAGCTTGGAGTTTGGAGGGTACCTTAAGAAATGTGGGATAGTATCACAACTCACACCTCCATATACACCTCAGCATAATGGCATATTTGAAAGGAGGAATTAAACTTTACTTGACATGGTTCAATCAATGATGAGTTCTTCTAATTTACCTGCATCATTTTGGGGTTATGCCCTAGAGATTGCGATTCACACACTAAACCGTGTGTCATCCAAGTCTATGAATAAGACTGCATATGAACTATGGAATGGACAAAAGCCAAAGTTGTCTTATTTGAGAATTTGGGGTTGTGAAGCTAATGTCAAGAAATTGACATCAAATAAGCTAATGGCACAAACAGAGAAACTAACTCGGAATAGTAGAAATGCCACATTTCTGTTTTGGGGTGATGCCCGAATATGGTGGGAGTTGATGGAAGATGTGCATCAGGTAGCCGCTATGACCGAGGGAGATTTCAGACAACTGTTTGAGGCAAAATACCAAACGGTTGATAGGGTTCATGAGAAGACTCAGGAATTTATTAGCTTGCAACAAGGGTCCAGTTTGGTGAAGGAATATTCTGTAAGATTTAATTCCTTGGTGAGGTTTGCACCCGATATAATGAGCACACAAGAATTGAGGAGGGATAAGTTTATGCATGGGCTGAAACCAGAAATAGCTCGAGATGTAATGGCAGGTGCCCAGCCCCCTCAAACCTATAGTGAGGCCTTGGAACGAGCCTTACGAGCTAAAATATTTGTGAATAAGCTGACCCCAACAATTCCATCAGTAGCAGCACCTAGTGATCCACCTCCCGCTTCACAGAGAGATAGAATTGATGTCCCTAGGAATAGAGAAGTGAGAAATAAGAAAAGATTTCAGCCTAAGAAGAATAGAAAGGATTAGCAGAATAAACGGCCGAGGACTACTGATTTTCCCCCATGTTAGAAGTGTGGGAGAACTCATCCGGGGGAGTGTCTCAAAGAGTTGGGCCGGAATGTATGTTATAGATGCCGACAGCCAGGGCATATGATGAAAGACTGTAAAGCCCCTCCTGCACCTGCAGCATAAACATCCAGAGGTACCAATCTCAGGTGTTTACAGTAGCACAGAGTGAAGCCGAGGTGAGCCCATCTGTAGTTACCGGTCAATTATTATTATATTCAGTTCCTCTTTATGCATTGATTGATTTTGGAGCCACACATTCATTTATTACACATGGGATTGTAGAGAGATTAGGTTTGAAACCTGTTATAGTGGGACAGCCCATTAAGATATAATTGCCAAACGGTGTTAGCGTGGTAACTTAGGAGATGCTTTTAAGGGAGTCCATAGTGATCCATGGAAGTGTGTTGCCAGTGGATTTGATTGTGTTTGATATGCCTGATTTTGATGTTATTTTGGGCATGGATTTCCTGGGGAGATATGGAGTAGAGATTGATTGTCGAAAGAAGAAAGCAAGATTTAATCTTGATGATGGTGATAAGTTTAGTTTTGGTGAGGGCCACCAGCTTAGTATGTTAACTAGCAATGTAAAGGTCAGAAAAATGCTAAGAAAAGGGTGTTCTGGATACATTGCCTGTGTAGTGCAAAGCAATGATGCCTCACAACTAGAGATTCAAAATGTGCCAGTGGTCCGGGAGGTTCCAGATGTATGTCCAAAAGATTTGCCGAGTTGACCTTTGAAAAGAGAAATGGAGTTTAGCATTGATTTGGCACCAAAGACAACACCAATTTCTAAAGCCCCTTATCAGATGGCCCTAGCCGAGCTTCAGGAATTGAAGAAGCAGTTTCATGAACTCTCAGATAAGGGCTTTATTCGACCTAGCCATTCTCTTTTGGGTGCTCCAATCCTATTTGTGAAGAAGAAAGATGGATCCCTACGGATATGTATAGATTACAGAGAGTTGAATAAAGTGACAGTGAAGAATAAGTACCTGTTACCTTGCATAGATGATTTATTTGATCAACTTAAAGGAGTAGCAATGTTTTCAAAATTAACTTGAGGTTAGGTTATCATCAAGTAAGAGTTGTAGAGCAAGATATTTCCAAGACTGCATTTCGAACCAGATATGGGCATTATGAGTTTGTGGGGATGCCTTTTGGGTTAAGCAATGCCCCATTAGTTTTTATGGATTCAATGAACTGGGTGTTCTATGATTGTCTTGATCGATTTATAGTAGTGTTTATTGATGACATCCTGGTTTATTCTAAGACAAGAGAGGAGCATGAAGAACACTTGAAATTTGTGCTACAATGATTAAGAGATAAGAAGTTGTTTGCCAAATTTTCTAAGTGTGAGTTTTGGCTGGATCAAGTTATCTTTCTGGGCCATACTGTCTCAAAGGAAGGTATATTAGTGGATCCTAGTAAGGTGAAAGCAATTCTTGAGTGGCAAAAGTCAAAGATAGTAAAAGAGGTTAGAAGTTTCTTGGTGCTAGCAGGATATTATAGGCGGTTTGTAGCAGGATTTGCTTAGTTGGCTAAGCCACTTACGGCTCTTACCAAATAGAGAACTCCTTTCATATGGTCGGATGCATGTGAAGAAAGTTTTCAAGAGTTAAAAAGAAGATTAACCACAACTCCTATACTAGTATTACCATAGGAGGGTGTAGACTATGATATTTATACAGATGCCTTACTTCAAGGACTTGGTGCAGTATTGATGCAATTGGGTAGGGTAATAGCCTATGCTTCTTGACAGTTGAAAGAGTATGAGATGAGATACCCTACGCATGATTTAGAGTTGGCCGTTGTAGTTTTTGCCCTACAAATATGGAGGCATTACTTATATGGAGCAAAAAGCAATATTTATGCCAATCATAAGAGTTTGAAGTTCTTCTTCACCTAGAGGGAGCTGAATATGAGAAAAAGGAGATGGTTAGAGCTGATAAAAGATTATGATTGTGAAATTGAGAAAGCTAACGTAATAACTGATGCCTTGAGTAGAAAAGCCTATTTGTTCCGACTCATAATGTAGAAAGAATTATTAGAAGAATTGTGTAGGGAACAGATTGAGGTACTACTAGGAAGGATTGCCAGGTTAGAAATTCAGCCTACTTTACTGGAAGAGATTAAAGAAAAGCAAATTGTCAACGAGTGGTGTCAGAAAACAAGTAGACAAGTACTTGAGGGTAAGATACCAGAATTTCATATTTTGGATGGTGTTCTTCGTTTCCGAAATCACATAAGCATTCCTCAAGATTGAGTTGAAGAAAAGGATTCTTGCGGAGGCTCATGACACACCATATATTGCTCATCCTGGAGGAACCAAAATGTATCAAGATCTAAAGAAGAGTTATTGGTGGTTAGGTATGAAGAGAGATATCAAAGATTAAGTAGGTAAATGTATGGTTTGTCAACAGGTTAAATCAGAACACCAGAGGCCATCAGGATTGCTTCAGCCACTTAGTATTCCTGAATGGAAATGGGAAAATATTTCAATGGATTTTATTACAGGCTTGTAACGTTAGGCTCGGTTGGTGGGCTCCAAAGAAAAGGAAAAGATAGACAAAGCAAGAGAACTCGGTTTCCTTTAAGCAAACACTACGACTTACATCAACTTCCACTTTCTTTCTCAACCACCACTCAAGATGTCAACCATTTTATAACCTTCAAACATGTGCACTTCTTATTTTTGCTTCTAAAATGCAATTCTCAAATTCTAAATTTTTTTAAAAAAAAAAAGCAATAATAATCTATTTGAGGTTAATTACCCCTTTTATTCTTCTTGTCCTTCTCACGATCCCCAAACTAATCTTTTAGTTCATTAGCAATTCACAAAACTCTCCAAGCTCTTTGTGTTTGCATTAAGTTCAAAATTCTCTTAAAGGTTTTGAAACGTGTTTAGGGTGAAGGGTTTTATTGGTTGTACAAGAAAAAAAAATTAGGACAACGATGATTTCATAAGGCACAAATGGTTGACTAGGGATAAATTTTCATGGTCGGTTGGAAAGGCTCAAACGTTTTGAAAAACTACCTAAATCACTTCTTCAATAATGTCTATTCCTAGAATTTTGCCTCAAGCACTTCTCAACTAGGTTCTAGAGTCCACCAACATTATCAAGACTTCAACTAGCCACATAAAATGAATCTAAGCATGCCGAAATAATGAAAATGGTGGTTGAACCACTCAACAAACCTCAAGCTAAATCAAGTCAACAAACCTAAACTTGAAGCAATGCTTAACATTTCTCAATAATAAAATCTTAACAATCCTATTCTCATCATAGACTTATGCAATTCATCATTGGCGCAGCAAAACAAAACATGAAAACACTAAACACAAATCAAAATTGTTTCAAAATGTTCCTACCCCCAAACTAAAAATGACATTGTCCCCATTGTCACATTATGCACAAATTAGGAATAGAAAAATAGAGTTGAAAAAGGTACGAGATAGTTCTCTGATTAATCTGTGAAGTCGAAGTCTTGTTCAACAGCATGCACACCTGTTCCTTAGCTTTCTCA